TGATATTTTGTATTAATAGTATACAGACTTTATATATTTATGCTATAGTGCCATGGTATGAACTTGAGTCTCAGGACCATGGTTAGGGTGTGTATATTGCCTAGGATGGATAATTGGACATAGGTGTTGTTCCCTGGTAGGTCTTGGTACACACGATCACATTATATGTGATTTGTATGGTATCTCTACTCAGGCTGAGACAGACCTGTTGTACTATCGAGCGTCTTATAGTGTGTACTTATATATATATAGATTACTCTAGATATTGTTGAGCTATCTAGGATGTATCTGCGTATCGGGTTTCTGTATGGATCATAGTAAAATAGGACTTGCATGTGGGCCTGACCCACTCTCTTATTTTTCAGGTGCTCGTCAGTTCCAGGGTTAGAGCTTGGTCATGCAGAGCAGATACAGACATTCATTCATCCGACTACGTAGGACTACTTCTTTATTTAGCTTTGGATTTTGATTACAGTTATTTCCTTTCCAATTTAGGATTTTATTAGGGGTCCACTTGAGGGATTCCCGAGTTGTTAAATTAATGGAGTTACTTTGGAGGTTTTGGATTAATGGATTTTAACATTATTATTTTAAGGATTTTTAATTAAAATTCTTTTTTGCTTTATTATTTATTTCTTATTAATTCGATTTGTATTCTGTGCTTAATTATATATTAATTGTTTGATGTCCCTCGGATCTGTGCTCGGACTTGATCACCCGTGACTCTAGAATCGAGGGGTATCACAACAACCATTCAACCAAGTGTCTAGGTAGGTGGCAAACAAGGCCTTAGTCAAAGGGTGACCTTACCAAAAGACCAAAATGCCCTCACCTTCTCATTAAACTACTACAATGCCATTATGATCCTAAATGACCATTCCATCCTCACAACTGTAATAAATGACAATTAAAGTAAATAATTACCATTAAGAAAATAATGCAGGACAAAAATCCTAGCATGGGACCCACACGGGTCGCTCAGCCAAAAATCCAAAAAAACTGTCCAAATGGTCCAACTAGCATATCAATGCGTCCTGAACTTAACGAAACATCTCAAATCACTATAAAACCCCTTGTGACAAGCAATCCCATGCATGGGCTCGCAACTTGAGATAATGAAAATACCACAAAAATAAAAAAAATGAGAAACCTCACACTAGATTATTTTTTATGTGCATTGTACAGCCTATTTTGCTTAATTAATAGTATATGTTGCTTCCTTTGAGCAAGTAAAAAACTTATAAAGCTATTATGAAAGATTTTGTAACTGTGAGTGAGGAACGATTACCAGTTTAGATTAAGGGTGGCAACGGATCGAATTGGATTATGTATCAATCTTAATTCGATCTGCTCTCAACGAATTAAATTAATCTTAATCTGTCACCGATCTGTTAATAACGGATTGGATTGAATTGAATTCGATAATTGGGTTTTATCTAAATTATCCTTATTATTTTTATAATTAATATTATTTATTATTTATTTATGTTTTAACCATAACTTAATAGATAAAATTTTAATTTATTAATATTAATTCATATATTTAAATAATTATTAACTAATATATCCTTGGAATCCATTAAATTATGGGCAAAATTCTGAAAACCCCCAATACTTTCAAAATATGATCATAAAACCCCAACCAGTTTTAAAAACTCCCAACAATATAACAATATTATCATTTTACCCCAATTTTGTCAACAAGGGCCGTTAACCAAGCGCGTGGTTAATAATTGCTTTGACAAATTGACTTTTGTGATGAAAATACCCCTGCTGTCACATGTGCCCAACAAGTGATGTGTATTTAAATATGTTATACCAAAAATACCCCCAAGCTTGTAATAGTAAAAACCCACAAAAGTTACTTAATGCTTTACTCATCTTCTCTCCCTCCTCCATGCACGTTGCAGGAAGCCCTAGAAGCAGCCTGAGCCACTGTGTTTCCTTCATTATAGAAAGCAGTGGAACACCTAAGATAAATACACAAACTTGAGGCGGCTTGGCTGACGATCAAGATAGCAACAGCAGACCCAAATCCATCTTTTGTTGGTGAACCGATGATATTCCGTGACCCAAATCCATCTCTGCTTGGTCAATTAATGACGGTTCGAAACCCAAATCCATTTTTGGTTCGTGAATCGATGATGTTTCGAAATCCAAATCCATCTTTGGTTCGTGAATAGATGACATTCGAAGACTCAAATCCATCTTCGTCGGCGTCGGTGGTTGAAAAAACTGTCTATAGTCGTTTGTGTAAAAACGACTCAAATGGAGGAAAGATGGAATAGTGCGAAATTAAATTAAGCAATGAGTTGAGGGAAATTAAAAGGAAGGGATCTGGAGGAGAAGGTTATCCTCCTCTGTTTATGGCGGCAATCGAACCAATCTGGAATAAGGTGGAAACTCCAGCGTGGAGTTGTTGTGTCGTTCTTGGCTCAACCATTTACAGTATTGGAGGTTGTGATAGAATCGATGGTTATTACTCTAAAGAAGTCCGTGCCGCCGATATGTCATTGAGGAAGTTTAGGTATGTTGCTTCGATGAACGCTACGAGGTGGTGCCCTCACGCAGTCACCGCTGATGACAAAATCTATGTCTTTAGCGGTCTCGACGGCGGTGGAAAAGGTCTAGAGATAGAGGTTTTCGACCCAATCAACGATATGTGGGAAAGTATAACTCCACCTTCACATCCAATTCTGTCTCTTAAATACGATGATGGATTCTTTGTAACTTATGATGAAGCATAAAAAAGGATTATCTGTGCTTCGGTCAACACCAAATGCCTCCTTGCCTATGATACAAAACGTGGTTCTTGGCAGTTACCGGACTCTGCTATTGATTTTAGATTGAAGAAGAGTGAAACTGATAAAGTTGTTAAATATATTTTATTTAATAATATTATCCTTTTGTGCTAAAGGATAATATTGTAATTTCAAAAATATGATTTTTTGGTTTTTTAAATAAAATCGAATATAATAAGGGTAATTTAATCATTCCACATACCCTTAACGGCCAATTGACAGAATTGGAGTAAAATAATTACGTTGTTATATTATTGGGGATTTTTAATACTGGTTGGGGTTTTATGATCATTTCTTGAAAGTATTGGGGGTTTTCAAAAATTTGCCCTTAAATTATTATTAACTATATTCTTTGAAAATATATATATAAATTTTACGGATCGAATTTTTAATAGACCGATCCGTGATCTACTGATTTGATTTTTTGAATCTGTCACCAATCCGTGGATGTAGCAATCTGATATGATCCGTACGGATTGAATTCGTGGATTCACGGATTATTTGCCCACCCCTAGTTTAGATTATTATGAAGAACAAATTGCATGACAAAAAGATCAAAGTATTTTTTATTTTATTTTTTTATAAAAAAAAATGAAAATTTATTAACAAAACATAACTATAAAAAGGCCAAAGCCCAAAAAGGGAAGAAAGTAAAACAAACGGGCTCAACAGAACAAAGCCCACACACCAACAAAGGAAAACCAACCCACACCCCAGGCGTAAGAGAAAACTAACCCAACAGTTAGAAATTTAAACATGACTAAACATTTGCATGAGTAGATCGGAGTTTTTATTTTTTTAAAATTAATTGGTGTATTTTTTTATTTTTATTTATTTATTTATTTTTTCACTAATTAAGTTAGTTTCACACGACTCATATACTTAACTTTTATGAATATTTTGCTAAAAAAAAAAAGTTTTGCAAGAATTGATAAATGAATGAAAAGATCGTGGGAATTTAATAGTATTCCTAAACATGATTTTAGAAAATAAAACTTATATATTAATGACCAAATTAAATAAAAGATCATTTATAATAATTTATATAAAATTTGGAATTGTAAAATAGTCCATCATGACTCCTCTAATCTACGCTCAAAAAAATCTTTGAACTTCTTCCTTTTATCCTTTCTCTACATCAGACCCCACTTTATCTCTTTGATCCACTGTTTCTCTCTTGTCATTTTTTTTAATCAACTCTCTCTCTCTCTACTCTGCCTTCTTAAGCCACCACCACATAATTTTTCTATTTAAAGACAAACCCATTTTCTGTTCATGTATATGTGATTTCTTTTCATTTCTCATATGCCTAAATTAACAAATTTAGCTTTCTATTATGTTATATTGTTATTTTGGTATTAATCTATGACACTTTTTAAAATTACATTTAAAACTCACCCTTTTAAAATTTAATTTCAAAACATATTCAAACCTCTCCCAAACATGTGCTAGACTCGCCCTATTCCATCCATGTTCATGTAATCATGTTGTATTCCAACCTTGACCGACCATAAAAATTTAAACCACACCAAACACTCTCGCAGGGTATTGGACATGTATTTGACCTTCAGAAATTAACAGTGAAAAATTGTACAAAACAGATTTCTATTTGGTTTAGTTTTATAAAAATTCAACTATAACAAAAATTTTTTTTAAAGAATTATTTATTAACCCACTCCATCACATGTTATTTGCTTTGGACTTGAGCCCACATGATTTTACTCTTAAATTTTATTCCAAAATGTATCGTATTAATTAGAGATCATCACCACGTATAAACAATTTACCTTTCTTATACTCAGGCAATGTAATAATAAAAAATCACTCTAAGTACTTTAAAAAATAAAAAATAAAAATTTGTTTTTAAAAAATAACAAAATTTGTTTTTAAAGAATTATTTATTGATCCACTTCATCACACATGTATGATGTTATTTGTTTTGAACTGTACAATTTTGTTTTTAAATTTTATTCCAAAATACTTTATATTAATTGAAAATAACATTTTTTCATACTCAAGCAATGTAATAATAAAAAATCACTCTACGTACTTTAGAAAAAAATAGAAAAAAAAAAAAAAAAAAAAAAAAAAACACTCAAGTGCATGGGTTTGTTTAAATGTTTCAACATAGTCGGTGTTCAAATTATATAAGACAGTTTAAACTTTTAAGTCAAATGGGAAACAAATTAAGACCCGTTACACTTTTCTATCACCGTTGGAACTTGAATGTTTTATCTAATACGAGAGTACAGTAGACCTATCAGTCATGGATCAAGAGCGCCCAATGAGAAGTGTTTCTTGTATACCTGTATTTTTACCATGAATGCTGTGGCATCAGAAATCGCAGTCTAGAGAGAGAAAGAGATAGCAACTCACACACAGTTTGGGGAAAAGGGTGGAGGAAGGAGGTGCTCGAAGAATGAAAGTGTGTGCCATCAGGAGAGCAAATCTAAGAGAAGTAGTACACTTACCAACACCGAGACTTCAAAAGGAGAACTGGGTTTGTTCTTCTTCTTCTTCTACTCAAACAGAAGAAAATGGGCAACTGTGGTACTAGAGAGGAATCTGCTGTTGTTTCTCATGCTCATCAAGGTACCCTCTTACTGCTTTACTTTCTCTCTCCACTATTCTCCCACTTACTTGCACTTTCCTCCAGATCTACAACGGTAACTGTCCATACCCTTCTAATCTTCTTTACTTCTTTTACTTCAATTTGCTTGGTATTTGAAAGTCTCTGAACAAGTGATTCAAATTTGTTCAATTTTCCATCTCTGTATCTCCTTGGAATGCTCTTAATTTGACTTTTTGTCTTTTGGGTATTTGGTGTTCCATACTTGCTTCGATATATATTGCAGATAAAATTTGAATAATTTCCATTCCTTGCGTTGATTGCTGGATTCATTTTTAACCTAGGATGAGATGGAATTAGGGTTTAAACCCCCTTTTTCAGTTTAGTGAATTTTTTATCCTTGATGAGATTGAATTAGGGTTTTTATTTTGTTCTCCCTTTCCGTTTTAGTTTGGTGATTTTTTCATTCTTATATTTTGAAGCAGTTCAGCAGCTCCACATGATATCGATGCCAGGTAGAACTGCTGGTGCTCCTCCAGAGAGGAAGCAGAGTCGGTCCACCTCAGATCTGTGCGATCCTTCTTTGGCGACATTGAACATTGAGGACTCTAGGAAGAATGCTGTGCTCTATACCCATGTCATTGCATTTACCCTATTCGAGCTCGAAACCATTACTAAGAGCTTCCGACCGGACTACATTTTGGGGGAAGGTGGTTTTGGAACTGTGTACAAGGGTTACATAGATGAGAATGTGAGGGTTGGCCTCAAATCTCTTCCTGTTGCTGTCAAGGTCCTCAACAAGGAGGGCCTTCAGGGCCACAGAGAATGGCTTGTGAGTAACTTTCCTTAATATATTGTCACTCTATTCTATGATTAGGATACAGAATTGGGACCTTCTAGAAACTTTCTAACTCTTTTGTTCGATTTTATGTTCCCTGTTCCAGACGGAGGTTAACTTTCTCGGGCAGCTCAGGCATCCTAATTTGGTGAAGTTGATTGGATATTGCTGTGAGGATGATCACAGATTACTTGTTTATGAGTTCATGTTCCGAGGAAGCCTTGAGAACCACTTGTTCCGAAGTACACACACTGCTCTTCTATTAGTCATTTTTTACATTGTTAAATGCTTTTGGTCTTTCATGGTGCTTTCTTTCTTTTCCATTTTATTATATCTTCATGAAATTTTTTAATTTAGTTAAGCTGTTCTCTAACATGCGCAAATGATCCATGTGATATGGTGGATTGATTCTTTACCCATTTAACTCCCAAATGCACTTGCAGCACTTCCGTAATAAGTTCCCTAGAGATGCTGCACGAACTTTCCTGATGACATGCTGCAATGCAGTTTGCTACTTTAACTTACCTAATTGAGTTGTATATAAGTAGAATCGCTGGTTTACATCAACAACAACTATATCCTTGTATTCCGAAAAAGCCTGAAAAATTTACTAGTTCTCTTCTTGAAATTGTCTTATTCGTTAGTGCTGTTTTTTGACAAAAATCCTTTTTAGATTTATTTAATCTATTCCATGACCAGAACTGGGGAGGATACATGTTATACCATGAATTTGAATTAGAAGAGAGATTTCAATCATGCAAACCTTCTCATACATTTGTTAGATTCTCTCTCCCCCTCTCTCTCTCTCGTTTTGTTTTCTGTCCTTTATAAGATGTACAGATATAAGGAGCTCTTTTTTGCTAAAATCCAGTTTCATTGCTGACCGTAAGAGCATTATTGATTACTTTTTACTATGTGGTGTTATATTGCAACATGTACTGTCCTTAATCTAGCAACTAATGAAAGAATCATTTCCATTCCACATCGTGAACTAGAAAACTATGGCCACACATTTAGATCTATTTGAAATTTGGGATAAAGTAGAAATTTCCGCTTACTTCTCCCCGGTTTTTGCATTTGACAAACACATCACAACTATTTTTGAATAAATAGGTAAGGACCTTCTTTTTGTCAGCCAGACAAGCAACTGCTACTCAACTAAGCCTTTCCCAACTACTTGGGGTCAGCTCATGAATCCTGTTTTTCCATTCTGCATTATTTTAGCCAGACAAACAGAATCCTTATTTTGTAAAGGTTGTCCAGGCTGATCGAGAGAAATTTCCATAGTACCCGCTTTGAAATAAGAAAATATTATTAAGTACCCCTCCTTTTCTTATATGTTATGTGAGATTAGGTACTGATTTTGGGACTTGTACATCTCAAGGTATCAGTCTTACCTAATCATTAAATCTTAAGATATGGGGAGTCGGCTAACGTGAGCCCAAAAAAATGAATCTGGGTATATGGACACCTCAAAACACCCACATACATTTCATATAAGAATTAACATTGGGGGTTAGTCTACAAATGTAGAAAAAATGTTTAAGAAGATAATGAAAGTTGGAATGTTTTATAAGGATAAATATAATATATATATATATAGCATTAGGAGACAACCCAAAAAATGCAAAATAAGGTGCTAACATTGTTCAGAAGATTTGGTCATATCAATTATGCTGTTGTTTTCTCTGTACGATATGTTGAGAGCATCATGTTCTTTTTTCTCTTATCAAATGTTTGTTATATCAAGTTTTTGCTATGATTTTGTTGATTGTTGACCTCCAAAGACATGATATATTTTGGCAACTAAAAACCCTAATTTTGAAGATCTCCAATGGGTGCAATTTTATAGTTTTTCTCTCTCTTCAAATATCCGACAGTCATATACTTGTGTTGACCAATATCCCATAGCCATATTGATTTCATGTTTGTCAACTGTCTAGTCCAAATAATATAGCTCTCTCTTTCTCATTATATTTTGTCTCCCTAAACAAACAATGCTAATCTATCACCCCCTCCCTCCACAAACCACTGTTGACTGTCCATATTCTTACACTTGCCATCTTCTTCCTCCTTTTTCTCTCTTTATTTCTTATTTTCTTCTAATCCGATACAATGAAACCATCTGCGTGCTTCAACACTGACCTGTCAGCTGCCAGTCACACACCCACAGCCTAATAGAGCTGTTTGTATCCATTTAAAAAGCCCCATTAAAACAAGCTTCTTGGCGCCCTGAACAGTAGTGGGATAATTTTTGACCTGGTGATAACTATGATATTATTAGCTCATGGTTGGGAAATCCCAAAGATGGTGGAACATTGTAAATTCTGTTGGGAATTGATGGAAATTGCATGTGGTTTGCCAGAAACAATGGAGTTGTTATGTAACTTATGATGGTTTGTAGGTCTTGGGATTTCTTTTGGCGTGTTTGTTTTGGCACCACAGAGTTGAATCTGTGGGTTGTGAATTTGCTAATGAAGAGATTTAAGAGAATCCACTCTGAGGACAGTAGATTGGAAAAATCTAGTAGTAATTATGATGTGATTAAACTCATCAGGATCATGAAAGCCGACAACCATGGGAGTATAGATTGTGGCAAGAAGGGGGGTAGGAGAGGAGGAAATGAAATAGGTTTAATGATGACAGAGCTAATGGTGATGGTTATGGAGTTTGTTTTAAAAAGGTTGTGAGGTGTTGGTGGATATGGTGATGGCGGTGGGTTTCAATTGTGGTTAGCAATTTGGGTGTGGTTTCGGTGGTGCTGGTTCTGGAACCTGTGTTCTCAGGTTAGGGAGAGATTATATATAGAGAGCAGTGGAAGTAAAAATAAAAAATAAAAATTTCCTACTTATAGTGAGGGCGTAGTAACCATAATACCTTTGAGGTGTTAATGTCCCTTGATATACATGATTATTAGAAGAGGTCCTGCCTATTTAATGTCCCTTCATAAATTTAATATAAATGCTTTAACCCAATGCTAGCTCATAAAGTATTGAAGGAGCATTATGATAGAAGCTCCATTGAGGTTTCTGAAGTTCTAATGTTATCTAAAATCTTAGATTTCCACCCATTTTCAACCCTTCGCATGCTGAATTCTCAGAATTTGAAGGATTTGTGAAATTTTGGGACTTCTATTTTAGATAGTAGTTCTCGCTGAAATCAAAAAGTAAAACCTGCAATAGGAACCTAGAAAATGAATATGATGAGCAAGTGCGCAGGTTATAGTTCAGTGAAAGACACATACAAATCAATAATTTAAAAACATGATAATCATCACCACTAATCTTATCCTTTTCCTTCATACAAACAAAGAACTTTTCTAAAGAGTATTTTTTGTCCCCTTTTCTTCACCACAAAAAACAAGAAAACAAAACAAAAAGAAAAGGAAAAAGAAATCTCTAAAACACACTTGAACTACAAGAAGAAACAAAGCATTTTCCCAACTACTTGGGTCGGTTATATGAATCATATTTTTCCATTACTCTATCTAAGGTATAGTCCTAGTCAAAGCACATGTACCATATCTTACTAACTGTACCCAAGTTAATTTTGGATTTCCCTTCCCCTAGCATTACGCTCAATGTGGCTATGTCACTCTTCCACTGATGCACTTAGTGCTCTTCGTTGCACATGCCTAAACCGTCTTAATCAATTACGCACTTTAAAAAACTTGAACTAGGAGTTGTAATGTTCAAAACGGTCTTAAAATGTTATTAAATTTATCTGCCGCCTACCATCCCTTTCCGTGATGCCTGGCTTATCTAGGAAATTGGCTTCCCGAATGTAGTGACAATCTATCTCTATGTGTTTAGTCTGTAATTTGTTCCAATTTTTCTTTCTGGCAAATAGTTCCACTTGCCTGGTCAATCTTGCAGGTTTTGGTCAGGCTTTCATTTTTCCTATTTATGTAGCGGATGAATTAATACGACTGATTTATTTCTTATTGCTTTCTTGATAATAGGTAACGTAGTTGAGAATCTAATCTTAGTAATTGATTATAATGACACTATATAGAGCTATAATTTTCTGTTCAGTACCTGGTATTGATTAGTTAACATGGCCCTTTCTTGAGGTATTCAGAGGCAACTGCTCCATTATCTTGGTCAACAAGAATGATGATTGCTCTTGGGGCGGCGAAAGGGCTTGCTTTCCTTCACAATGCTGAAAGGCCTGTTATCTATCGGGATTTCAAGACCTCTAATATATTGTTAGACTCTGTAAGTCTTGTTTTAAAGGATATTTTTATTCATTTTTCTCCTTCTAGCCATATTTCTCGATAGGGGGTGATTTGTCTTTGTTAACCTTGCCATTGTCGAGGGACTTGCAGGATTATACAGCCAAGCTTTCTGATTTTGGGCTTGCAAAAGCTGGGCCACAAGGTGATGAGACCCATGTATCAACGAGGGTGATGGGTACATATGGTTATGCTGCCCCCGAATATGTAATGACTGGTATGGCTTCCTATTATCTTGTAGTGGCTCGAGTTCGGGGCATCACTTTATCCCTATTGACGTAGGAAGATAGAAGTACTCCTCAATTTGGAGCTCAACTAATGGGGAATTGAATTGGAGCCTGTGTTGTTTTTATAAAGGAATGCAATTTTATCTTATGCCATGAATTTCTAGGAGTTGGTTGATAGTCGGCTAATTTTGAGAGGTAAGATGGTGGTATCATCTGGTGCCTGCGCCATCTAATAATAGCATTGAGGTTTGGTATGTAAGGCACTTTTAGGTTCAATTTAGGACCATAATGTCGTTTTCCACATGTCTAACCAAGCCATGCTTCTTCTTTTTTCGGGAGATTAGTAGCTTTTCTGTGTTAATTTTGTATCTTAACTTGGCAAATATAGTGGCCTTTCTTTTTCAATTTTTTCTTGGCAAGATTCAAGTATTAGAACCTCCTTACCCCTTGTCCTACGCCTTTACCGCTTGAGCCAAGGCCCAATAAGTGATTATTTGTTATTGCCATGGAACTTGGATTGCAATCTTATACAGTATAAGACTTTTACATTTGATCTGAAATTCTACTGTAGACCTGGCAACTTTCAGTCATCTTTTAGCAAATAATACTCTGTTCTATTTTCTCGTCTGCCAAGAACTGTCTAGCGTGATATTCCTAAGAAAGTGTAATATTTCTAATTAAAAGTGCTATAGGAACTTACAATTGCAATTTTGTGTTGTGGGCCTATCCATCTTTTATTCTTTCTTGATTTGGCCACAGTCATGCTATGATGACTAGAAGATAAAGTCAATGACATGTGACTTGTATTACAGAATATTTCTATATTAATCCTTAGTTTTCTTTTTTTATTCACTGAAGAACACTAATTTATACAAAAGAAATGGGACACCCTCTTGACTTTTTCTTTTCTGAATCCCCGCCTTCCATCTTTTCCTAGAGAGAGTCTCTTATACTATGAAATTATCTTAATTTCTTCTTACCATTTGTCTTACCAGTTACCATTTGAGGGTATAATTGAGAAGTCAATATATATGTATATTGTTATTTAAATTTAATTGCCCTAGTTAGCGTTGAAGTTAGAGTGAGATAACTAGCTGGTAAGAGAGAATGGAGAGAAATGGTAACCAGGAGAGAAGGTGAGGAAAGTTAAATAAGGGGTGCTATGGAGTGACAGAGAGTAGTGGATTATTAACAAATCCTACTAAAAAAATTAGTGATAGTGAGTTAAAAAAATAGTAGTAGAGCAATGGTAGGATCACACACTTGCACGTTTGTCTCATATTTCCCATGCTTCAGGGAAATGAAGTTTTGCATTTGTGTGCATGACCCTTTATGGGTGCACTTTCCTTAATGAGGCATGTATGTATTGGACAGGACATCTGACTGCCAGGAGTGATGTATACAGTTTTGGAGTTGTTCTTCTAGAGCTATTGACAGGAAGAAAATCTGTTGACAAGACAAGACCAAGCAGGGAGCAGAGCTTGGTGGATTGGGCGCGGCCAAAGCTTAATGACAAGAGAAAATTGCTGCAAATAATAGACCCTAGATTAGATAATCAGTACTCAGTAAGGGCAGCACAGAAAGCCTGCAGCTTGGCATACTATTGCCTAAGCCAGAACCCCAAAGCAAGGCCCTTAATGAGTGATGTGGTTGATACTTTAGAGCCTCTACAAAGCGGCAATGTTGGCACAAACGAAGTTACTTTATCATTGTCATCAACCCCTGCCCTGATGGGTGGTGGTGGTCCATTTGCCATGGGGGCCATCCCTGATCACCGAATGCGCAAATTGGCTGGCAGTGTTGGTGCTGATGCTTTTTGTCGGTCTCCGAACCCTAATTATTCATCGGGCAGCCCTGCAGCATGTCGGGTTAGATGAGAAATGTCACATATTTGTACATCTTTTTTGTGTGCCTTTCTTCTTTCACCCCCTTGTGAAATGACAAAATTTGCTTGTTAAAACATGGGCGCATTTTCTGTTTTGTACTCGATGATGTACATGGTAATGGTGACCCAGGCCTGTGTTAATTATTTCTGTCCTGACATTTCCTCTTTTCAATGTCTTGTGGTGGTTCTTTACCAGTTAAATTACAATGTGAAAAGCTATATTGTAATTGCCGTTGTAGGTAAATGCCAAATTCTATAATTAAATTTTTGTTTTCTTTTTCTGAACGCGTGCAGCATTTTTTTTTTTTGTTGGGGGGGGGGGGGGGGGGGTTCTATAATTAAATTTTTGTTTTCTTTTTCTGAACGCGTGCAGCATTTTTTTTTTTTGTTGGGGGGGGGGGGGGGGGGGGGGGTGGGGGTTTTTTTTTTTATTTTTTTATTGTTATTAATTTAAATTGAAGTCTCATCTTATGTAAACCCTTTCTTTTTCTTTTTCTGGTGTCACTCATTTGTCTCCCAATTGCTATTCTTATTAAAATTGGGTGCCAACCATCTTTTGATTATCTGTTTTGCCACATATTTCTAAATCTATTGCTGTTATTAGGTTTTCAAAGCAGAAAATTTGTGGAACAATGTGTTGACACCCATTTTGGTAAATTTTGTATTGATGATGTGGAGAGAAGGGTGGTATTTCACGTAGATTGAAGTTGAAATTGCATGCAAATATGGGAAAGAATACATTGAATTAGTTGTGGATAAAGATCATTGTTTTGAAATTTATCTTTTAGTTAGTTTTAGTTGCATAATTATGTTATCTATAGGATTAGTTTATTTTGAATTTATAGTTTAGTTTTGATAGAGTTGTAATGCAAGTAAAATACTTGCATATAGGAATTTGTTTTACGAATTATTCTATAAATAAACAAAGAAGCATGTTGTGGTAAAGGTTAAGCATCTTTTGAAACATTTATTATTATTCTTGCTTCCTCAAGCTTTTTCTCATAATAGCATCTTTGCTATTTCTTTCTCTCTCTCTCTCTCTCAATATCTCGTTCTATCTCGTTCCATCTTTCTTTCTCTCAATCTCTCTATCTGTTTCTCTCTCCTTTCTATTCTCTCAAATTGTTACTATAATTATTCATTGATAAAGTCATTTTAATTAAGGCAATCATGAACTCAAAAGAGGAGTTTTATTGTTCTCTTTCTCCTTGCATCGCCTTATAGTCAATATTCTCAAAGAGACTAGCGTTGACAACTCACAGTTGAACCATATAATTGGTTCTGGCACGCCCGTTTTACATTAATTTCGAATTGGATCTAACCAGCTGATTTTAGAGTCAACATTCTTGGCACGCCCAGTGGGACCTTACTGGGTGAGTGATTTATAGTAAAAAAATGCAGTTGGCTTCTCAGCTAATGTACCAGTATTCTAATCAGCCATACAGTTGGCTAGACAATTATCAACAACCAGCAGTCGATTATCGGCATGTTCCAGCAGCCAACTGTGTGGTAAACCAGTCACCAGCAGTCGATTATCGACAAGTGGTAAACCAGTCACCAGCAGCCGATTATCGGCAGGTGATACACGGGGGGCAACCGATGGCCAATCAGTCATATGGTTGGCCTAAAAGTTATTAGCGACCAGTAGCCGATTATCAACAAGTGACAAACCAGCCACCAACAGGTGATTATCGGCAGGTGGTAAGTCAACAAATGGGAGAAATAAGATCCTAAATAAATATCCAAATGGGAGAATTTATTCAGAAGGTATTTGCCCAATTGGGGGAGGAGATTATTCAGGATGTGAAAGTAATGAAGGCTCAGATATCGGCAATCCAAAGTCGTCATCAAGCTGAAAACTCGGCATCTCAACGAGCTTATGAATCAATTTTTCAACGTATTTCTTTACAGACAAACATTTCTCAAGGGTTACGAACAACTACGGCAGGAATTGTCCCACCGAACACAACTTTTGGTATACCCATCGGTAATCCCCCAATAATAACAGAAATACCATTGATGCCGATTGAGTCGAATGTAAAATCGACAAAGGTTATTCTACAACGCCCACCAGTTATGCCGATCCCCCCTCAGAGAGAACAGCAAGAAATGGGGGAGATTGATCAGGAGATTAAAGAATTGATGGCTCAGCTTATCCAGGCCGAGGTAGCTCAAGGGCATAAACGTGCTCAGCCTGTATACAAGAAATCTTATCCTAACCAGGTGGTAAATCAGCATGTCACCCCTGTATCTCAACCTCTGTTACATGAGGGGCTATCGATAACCAGTACCGAAATTGGTTAGTCCTGTCGATCTTGGCTGGAAATTTTATCAGAAAATCGGCAGCAAAGTTTGCCAAAATATTATCAGTTACCGACTACCGATTATCGGCAGGCGGTAAATCAGTCACAATAGATGACTTATCAACAACAAAGTTGGAAAAGCTATTAGCTTGGTACTAATGAATGGAAGGGTACAAATCGGCTGAAAGTAAAGCGGCCTATATACCAGAATTCTTTGCCGATTGTGATATCTAATAATCGGAAAAAACAATCATAAACTCAAAGAATTATTTTAGATCGTTGTCCTCAACCCAATTTCAAGAGAAAAAAAAAAAAAAAGAAGAAGAAGAAGAAGAAGAAGAAGAAGAAGAAGAAGACTAGTAGATGTTAATTTTAAAAGGTTACTTAGAGCTCAGCTGAGGCAAAATTGGCTGAGGCAAAATCGGTTGAGACAAAATCGATTAAAGGAAAATCGGCTAAAAGAAAATCAGCTGAAAGACCAGTGGCTACCGGGGGGCATGTGATTGCTAACCCCCAACAAAAGTTAGTTGATCAATACCCTCTATTTCAGCTTGCCGATTATAGTGAGGTAATGCTTACCGATCAATGGATTTTTGGGCATAATGCAGTCTTGCCGATTGAGCTGAATGTAAAATCGGCTGAGGCAAAATCAGCTAAGAAAACTTCTTACTGGCACAATGTCATTCATCTAGAGAGATAATAGGCAGATCGGCTAAAATGACGTTTCATAATAATTTAATTCCTGCCGATCATGATCATAATTTGCTAGCAAAGTTAGAAAATGCATGGGGGACAAGTCCTTCCTGGGTTTATGGGCAAGTGATATCGGCAAACTTTCTGAGAATCTATGAAGAGCCTAAATCAGCAGATTTGGCTAAATAAAGATCATTTTAGGGGTGATTCAGAAGAAATAAAATTTTGGAGCTCGTTAAGTTGCAATCTTATTCCAATTGATTAGCTCAAAATTTCCATCCAATGTATTTTAAAATTTCAAATATCTTATCGGCTTGGGCAGCCGACAGCTGATAAGACATTTAAAATTGAGGGCATTGTTGACACCCATTTATATAATTTTGTATTGATGATGTGGCAGTAGAGAATGGTGATATTCCACGTAGATTAAAGTTGAAATTGTCTTTTAGTTAGTTTTAGTTGCATAATTATGTTATCTGTAGGATTATTTTATTTTGAATTTATAGTTTAGTTTTGATAGAGTTGTAATGCAAGTAAAATACTTGCATATAGGAATTTGTTTTACGAATTATTCTATAAATAAACAAAGAGGCATGCTGTGCTAAAGGTCCAACAGCCTCAAAAACATTTATTATTATTATTACTTCCTCAAGTTTTTTCCCAGAATAGCATCCTTGCTATTTCTTTCTCTTTCTTTCTCTCAATATCTCGTTCTATCTCTCTCTCTCTCAATTTCTCTCTCTATTTTTTTCTATATCAATTTCTCTCTCCTTTTTATTCTTTCAAATTGTTACTATAATTATTCATTGATAATTTTTTTTTTAATTAAGGCAATCCTGAACTCAAAAGTGGAGTTTTATTATTTTATTTTTCCTTGCATCGCCTGATAGTCAATATTCTCAAAGAGACCAGCGTTAATAACTCACACTCGAATCATATAATTGGTTCTGGCACGCCCATTTTACATCAATTTCGAATCGGATCTAACCAGCCGATTTTAGCTTGAACACAATGGTTGATTCCAAAATGGTTAGATTATAACCTTCTTTCATGATATTACTGTGGGAAAATTTGCCAAGCCTTCTTGAATTAATCAACACAAACATTTTTGCATGAGATCACTGCTTATTATAAATGCAATTTTTTTTGCAATAAAGTTTTGCTGCTGCCTATATTTGTCATCACAAATGGAGATGCAAAATGGTGCCCTATTAATTAAGCAGCTGACCTAAACTTTGCCACCCCAAGGCATGAAGATATATAGTAGGGTTCCATATCATTCATTATAGCAGGAAAACTGGATTTCAATTGGTTTTGGGCAATTTTGGGTTGAATGCTAAATAAATTCATGCCAAGAGGTGTACATAAGATGACACTTCAATTTAAATTAATACATCATATTTTCTATTATCTCACACTGGCAATATTGTATCAGGACAAGCAAAAATCCCAATCAATTGACCCACTTCACCCAATAAACCTCTATTCATAGCTTTGCACCACACAAATTGTATTGGAAAGATCTCTCTCTCTCTCTCTCTCTCTCTCTCAGTGTGTGTGTGGTGTGTGTCTGTGAGCCATGAATCAGATCGCAATTAACCATGTCAGAACACTGTCATTACTAATTCTCTTCTTCACCCAATTCAATGTTATTCCAGGTATGAAACTCAAAACTTTTTGGCTCATGGCAGTTGTCACTGTATCCATATGCAAGAAATCCGGATTTATAAGTAAAGCAAGCACGCGCGCTTTTCTGCTCTTTTGCATGCAGGTGATCAATCATCAACAGCAGTTGTGAGGGAAGAATTGCAGCCGGTGGAGCCAATCGTATACAGGGTGGTGGATGAAGTGGTGGAGGGAAATTCGCGACGGAGGCTGGCACCCTTCCAGCTGTGCTTGGCTTGCAAGTGCTGCACAGCCGCTGCCGTCCCCACCAGCTGCGCTACCATGCCTTGCTGCTTTGGCATCGACTGCCAGCTCCCTAACAAGCCTTTTGGGGTTTGTGCTTTTGTCCCCAAGACCTGCAACTGTACCGCTTGTGCTGTTTAGGGACTCTTATCGTCTTCCTCCATCTCTCTCCACTTCTCGCCATACAGTTTGATATATATATATATTGTTGGATCCATTCCTTAATATTGTTCATAAATTCATACATAAGATGGTCATATATTGTATACATGGAATTAATAGCTGCTTATAATTAATATATACTGCTAAATCATATGTAATGTTGTTTAAATAATTGTTATTCCATGGATAGATGAATTAAGAAGCTCTTCTGTTCTTGATAATAATTAGTTCTTGAGCAGCATGATTGAATGGTTGAAAGAATCTGAGTCAAAGAGGTTACTGGTCACCAAGGAAATAGGAATCTATCTATCATCACTCAATGATATGGGACCATCCAACTTGAAAGCTCACTTCATTAAAATTCATATTTTTTTAATGATAAATTATATTTAATAAAACATATTATGATATATAAATACTAGTCATTAATTGTAAAAACTCATACTGGAGTTTAAATTAGTAAGGTCAAAGTTAGTTTATCTCTAATTTTTCCATGTTCTGACCTTTATCTTCGTAAGCAAAATTGAAGTGACTAAAAGTTCTTGTTCTTTTTATCAGTTTTTTTTTTTTTTTTTTTTTGCAAATTCAAAAATTAATTTAAAAGGACATTCTGATAGCTTATAAGAATGAATTAAAGTTCAATTTAAAGAAACGTTGACACGTACGTAGTATATTTTTTTAAAAAATATTAGCTAGTGTGAATGATGGGATTTTATGCCTCCAGGAGCGCAGTGACGTTGGCAGGAATTCAAAAAATAAATTCTTAAAGTCTCACTTTTAAATCGTACCCCTGACTTAAATCGTAAATCTATTATGGAACTAATACATGTGCTTTAATAAATAAAATGAAAAATAAAAAATTCTAATTTAAATAGTATCTGTATTATAAAACTGATACACATGTCATGAGAAAAAATAAGAAAGAAAAAAAAAAAAAAAAAAACGTGATGGGCTTTTATAATTGAAATCCACAAACAAGGTGAGGTGGGGGCATCTTTTGCGGATCACACATATAGCATCCAACATTGCAGGCATGGACACTGAAACAATTCCATCCACCCACTCTACTTTTTCCTTCCTTCTACACTTGTTTCAAAAGGGTGCATATGATTCCGTCCAACCACTGAATCAATCAATCAATTCAAACCAAAATCCAATCAGACCACTGGCGTGTGAAATATTTCTCCCGTCTCATTATAAATATTCACTTAAAAAATTGTGACTCATAAATTTTAAGTGTACTTTTTAAAATAAGAGAGATAGTATTAAAAGTAAGATGAATCAATTCTCATTAATAATAATTATATATATATATATATATATATATATATAAATATTTATGTTCAAATAAAATTAACCCTTTTAAAGGTTAAAAAAAAATGGTATTGCAAGTGTAACCATTGGAGATTGACTTTGGAATAATATCATGTTTTAGTATAACAATTCCATCCACCCACTCTACTTTTTCCTTCCTTCTACACTAGTTTCAAAAGGGTGCATATGATTCCGTCCAAACACTGAATCAATCAATTCAAACCATAATCCAATCAGACCACTGGCGTGTCAAATACTTCTTCCGTCTCATTATAAATAGAAACTGTGACTCATAAATTTCATGTAAAATTTTAAAATAAGACACAGATAGTATTAAAAGTCAGGTGAATTAGTTCTCATTAATAATAATTATTTATATTTATATTTATTTATGTTCTAATAAAACAAACCCTTTTAAAGGTTAAAAAAAAAAGGTATTGCAAGTGTAAACCATTGGAGATTGACTTTGGAATAATCTCATGATATTAAACATCCTTTGAGTTTTCTTTTTCCTGTCCAGCAAATAAGACATGCAGAACATACCACCAATTACGGCCCTTGATGATATATATATATATGTATGTATATTGTTAAGTATGTATTAACAAACATTTTATAAATTACTTAGAGACGGATTTAGAAATTCATATGAGGGGAGAAATTTATATAGAGAGATTTTTTCATAATTTTAGTAGGGTGTGTAGGTGCAAAATTTCTCTATATAAAAGAATTTAAAAGAAATAATACAACTCACTCAAAATAAAACAATGAATAACAAGAACTATTCAGAGAAAAATGTATATTGCTCGATCCTCTTCAGTGGAGGTCTAGGCCTCTATTTATATACAAAAAGGTGGTGGAATTATAGTAGGACTTGCCTTACTTGTCCTCTAATTCATTGCATATACATCATTATTTACAAATAGAGTTCTTTCATTTTCATAATTCCTTTCATGCCAAACTTTCCTTTCACAGAGTTTTCCTTTTATGATGAATCATTTGATTAGCAGGACTTATTCATTCTCAAATAGTTTGGACCGGATACATCTTGGCCAGCTGAGCTTGAATAATGGGCTGGACGACTAGTGCCATCGATCTTGGTCTAAAGGTAAACTCAATTTGGGCTTGACCCGGATTGGGCTTCCGCAATTTGGGCTCGACCCGGATTGGGCTCTCGCAATATATCAAAGGATCAAAAATATAAATTCGTAATGTGATGAAGTGGGACTCTCACCGGAGGGGGATTTTTTCCTCCACACTTTGTCCCCAATTCCCTCTTTAATTGGACTACGGTTCCTAATTAAAAGGAAATTGAAGTTGCATGGTTACCTATTTTGTAAGAGGCAGTTCAAGGAACGTCCGTTGCCATTCTGTCCCAAGAGCTTCTTCAAGACCTGTTTTTGCCTTCGCTATGCTTACTGTATTCTTTGCTTCGTCATTAAACCAGATTTGTTCTTCACCTATTTCTTTGATTTAATATCATGAGTACTTCACCCACTCACGATCATATAGAGACTATAGACTCTGAGTCCACACCTTCATCTTCCCCTATTCTCATTAAGGTTCCTCCCCCTAGGGTTTTTTGATCCCCTTGCATCTGCGAACGATTCAGTCATTTGAATGGAGGATTCCCTACCACAAGCCGAAGTATCAACTTTTGGGTCAGATAGTGTTTTCACCAAAGAGGAGAGAAAGACCATTTTGTCTATTCGGCGTCTCAAGTTCACCATTGAGTCTGTAATGGAGGAATTTGAAATTCCTAAAGAGGTAGAAATTGTTGAATACCTCAAGAAGGCTGATTTCAGCTCCGGCGAGGGCGTAGGAGAGAACAAATTGCTCTTATCGGTTGGGCACCTTAATGCTTTTTGATTTCCTCTTCACCCCTTCTATCACTTAGTCTTCAATAAGTTAGGTTTTGCCCCTCTTCAAGTAAACCCTAACTTTGTTCGGAAAGTCTCGACACTTTTGGTCCGCCGAAGGCTAGAGAGTCTTGACTTGACTCTTGCTGACCTATTGATTAGCTACACCATCTCCAGGCATGGGACCGAGCCTGGCCGTTTTTATTTCACTTCTTCTCTTCAACAGAGGATATTTAAAGACCTTCCTAATCCTGAGAAGAAATGAAAAAAGAAGATGATAATTGTTAAAGCGAACTATGCTGTGTCTCAATCAAGCAAACTCCCAATTCCACGTAAATTTGGGAAGTTAGGTATAGAATGTTTTCCCTCCCTTCATGACAAGTGCTCTGGTTGTTTCCCATGTCGAGTCTTACTCTTTTGTCACACTTATGAATTTCTTGGTGTTTTTTCAGCGACGTTCCCCTCCTCTATATCCAAAAAGAGACTTATTTTTCTCGAAAAACAAGTTTGGAATGATCCCCTTTCAGTTGAAAAGTTACTTTCTTCAACCAATCTTAAGGAAATTTCCTTCAGTGTTATAGCTGCTGACCTGATGGATTTGGCACTCCCCTCCTTTGATAGCTTTCTCTTAACTGAGGAAGAGAAGAAAAGGGTTGAAACCCTTAAAAAGAGAGCTGTAGAAAAGGAGCATCTTGCTATTGTACGCTTTACTGAGCAGGAGAAAGAGGTTGAGGAAGCTCCTTTACACAAAAAGGCAAAACTGAACCCTTCTTCAACAGCAAAAACCAAGGGAGTTACTCCTTCAAAAAGCAAGGGTAAGAAAACTGGAGAAGCTGACTTTGAGGAGGAGGTGAGGGCTTTTGTCCTCGCTGAGAAATGTGAGCCTTTGAGGCCTACCTTTTCTAGGGCAGATAAATCAATCCTTCACCTCGGGGATTCGGTTATTACAGACCCTTCTGCAGCACTGGCAGTTGCACGGGGAGTATGGTTGCCCAAAAATAAAGAAATTATGGGCAACATGGGGCTAGACTAGCTTCTTCCTTCTGCTCCCGTTCGTGCTGTGGAAGTTTATTTTTTTCCCTTCGTTGTTAGTTCCTTAGCTTTCTTTCCACTCTTTTTACACTATTATTGTTATTGTTGATTGTGTAGAGCCTATACCACACTATGGCCCTATGCGCCACTGCTGAGGCTCAGTCTCTTTCTATCAAGAAATTGGAAAAAGACCTTGTCAATGCTGAGAAGAGGGCTTCTAACGCAGCTCTAAATATAAAGATTGCTTCTGAAGCAAGGGATGTTTACAAGAACCGTTTGGAAGCATCTGAAACCAAGCTGAAGGCATTGGAGGCTGAGAACAACATTTGAATGATGCAATTGGCACCTGCATCACTGCTGGAAAATAGATGCAAAGACACTACTCCACCTTGGTACGCTTATCCAGGGCAAAGGCCTTCAGGTTCGGCTTCAACCAAGGCTCAGGTGACAAACTGAAAGACCCAGAGGCTTTTGATGCTGACATAGAAGTGTCTTTCCCTTACACTGAGAGTCCACAGGCCCAAGAAGCTGAGGTGTTATTCGCTGAGATGGTGAAGTCTCACCAAGAGGACCATCCAACTCCAAGTTCATCAGCTCATCCATCTTCAGACCCATTAACTCCTCCAGCCTCAAGTCCGAACGTGGTGAACGCTTTTGATTCTGCTCATTTTGACCCCAAAATGAAGTGAACTTGTATAATATTTGCTCCGGAACAACATATAATTTGCTTATAGACAGTAATTGTTATAATTTTTATATTTACTTTTGAAAAGTTGCATATCTATTAACGTTTCTGAGCTGCACATACTTGCTGAGTAATTTTTCATGCCTTTGAGAAAGATTCATTTTCTCTGGAAACTTCGGACTCCTTATGGTCTGAAGCAAAAACAGAGAGGATGGTAAGAAGAGAGTTTCTATGACAGTTCGGTCACTAACTAAATAGTGTTCTACCCTTTATGATCTAACCATCAAGGGAACCCTTCTTGCCCTTAATTTGTATAGAGTAGGTATATCAAAAC